TCGCCAGACAGAGAGAGACATAGAGACAGAAAGCGAGAAATCATCCCCCAGAGGGGATGGTCACGCCGCAATCCCTTCTCCTCCATTCTCCTCTCGGGATCTTGGGCACGCACGCACACGCGCCCGGCGTGAGTTCTAAGCCACCGGGTCCGGGACACGAACCGCGGTCGACTATGTGGGAGTCCAGCGACATAGCCATTACGCTAACTGCTGGTTCCCGAAAATGTATTATCTTTGAGTCTAGGTTTTAGTCATGATTTCTTTCTTCTGATAGATATACAATTTCTCAAAACTAACAGAAGTGAGCTGTAAAGTTGGTCTTTGGCCATGAAGAGACCGGCAGCTGAGGGATACAATCCAAACTTGCAGTCCAGGCTTTGTTGCAGCCTCTGGCTTCGAATGGCTGAGCTGGCAAGGATGGAATGGGTGACTTAGTGAAGTATGTAACCAACAGACTTCTGGGGACTTTGTGGGTGTCAGGTACAGCAGAATTACCAAAGCTGTACAATCAATATTTAATATTATTGTAACTGGCTGAACCTGGAATGCTGAGGCCATACTGTCATTTGCACTATCATTAGAAAAAGAAGTAACCACCACCACAAATATCTCTCAAAAAATGACCAAAAGAAAAAAATAGGAGATAAAATATTATAGTTACCTATATGGTAGACTAAATTATTGCTATCTTTTAAAGGAAATTAGAGTTGTTCCCATTGTAAGAATGAGATACTCACCAATATGTATTAGATATGAATAATCCTTGATAGTTGCTTCTGCTCTAAAGGAATTATCCTGAAGATCAACTATTACTGAGTCTAAATTGATATCCTTAAATGGAAAGCAAAGAGAGAAGATTAAAGGGTAAATTCCCCCCACAACTTCAACTATACTTTTAAGGTTGTCAATGAACAAACATAGGGTTCTTCTTCATAGAACTCCCAAGCTAAATATATGTTACCGTTTTTTTCTTTTCATATAAAACTCAATTCTTTTTCAAAGCACATATTACAATTTGAATTATATATCTTCCTGTTTAATATCTACCTTACCCACTACTCTGTAAGCTCTAAGCTTAAGGGACTATCTTTAGAATGTTGCAAAGTACCTAACAGGTGTTTAATAAAAGAAGATGACCCGAAACCAATGTATTTGTTTTTATTTTAATCTTTCCACTATTGTGTGATGCTGGGAAAATTGCACGACCCCTCAACATCAGTTTATCAAAACAATCCATTCACTAACAAATATTCGGATGTCTCCCATTTCTACATAGCCTTGATACTGGGTATTTTGGTAACTATCATTTACACCATAAACTGAACACATTTCATGTGGAAATTTTCCCACTTCCTTTAGTCATCTCTCTTTTTCCCCCAGTACTACTGGTGAGAGTAGGCTGACCTCTCTAGGCCCTGCCCTCTTGGGTTTGAACAGCATGACGAGGAGACAACTGTGAGAGGGAATGGGAGGCAGACAAAAACACAAAGTGCCTCTGTCCTCTAGGCTCTGACTAAGGCAGAGGCTGTCTACTCCTGCAGAATGGTCAAATCATGCCGTAAGTTTGAGATATCCAGTGACTTGGATATGGTTCTGCTACTAAAGAAGCAGTGTGAATTACCAAAAACTCCCAGCTGCCAGCTTGTCTTTAAATCTCCATGGTTCCTCAGAGTGTGGAAACCTCGATAATTTGGAGGATCTATCTGAAGATGTTATCAGTTGTCTACTTATTTAATTTCCCAGCTGGACTATAAAGCCTTATGTAAACCAGGTTTCTATGATTCTGGCCTGTCACTGGATCCCTGACATCTAAGACAGTGCCTTGCAGAAAGTAGGTGTTACACAGTAGTTAATGAATTGTCTTGCCAACTTTAATTTCAAAAGTGGATCTGAACATCACTGTGGTTTAAATGGACTAAGCTACAGCACAGTCCCTGTAAACCCAATTTATGTTGGAAATCTGTTCTTATGAAAATTTAGCAGGGATTCATTTTTGTTACCCATGCTTTAGAAATAAAAAATTACAGGAAAGCACATAAAATATACTTCTCAGTCTGGTTTTTAAAAGAGGCTATAACGAGCTTGTTAAAGAGTCTGTAACAACACTGCCTAAGTTCCAAATGCCAGATCTGCAACTTACTAGGTGACTGGTAAATTACCTAATCTTTCTGTTTTCTTTTCTGTAAAATAGAGAAAACAATAGTGTATACCTCATGGAGTTGTTGTGAGGAGCAAATAACTTCACAGTTTAAAAAGTCATTAGAAAAAGATCTAGCATATGATTAATATTTATTGAGCATTAAACCTTATTCCTAATTTTCAAAGACATGTTTACCTTCTGTTTAGTATATATAACAATGGTGACTAAAGAGTCTGTTTGGAACCAATCATAGCTGTAAGAGATTAAGAAAAGAATGAAGAATTAAATCAACAATCAGGTACATTAACAAATATTAAGTCATTCATTGTTTAAACTTTACAGTAGGAAATGTATTTCTTTAGGTTAAACTTTATTCTAAGTGAATAATGTCTTACCATGTCATATTCTTCATTATAAAGCTAAAAATTATTGCCAAATTCAAAATAGCTATACTTCCAGGTATTCTCATCTGAATAAAAACAAAATAATCTTTGTAAGACTTTTTTTTTTTTTCAATTGCCAGAGGGTACATGGGCTTACATGTAGACACATAGAAAGCATTCTGGAACTATACCTGGTTACACAAAAATCCTCTCTCCTCTGTTTCAAGAGCCTGTCTGGATTTGGGGTGCAAAAGCGAACTCGCCCACCATGTTTTTCAAACCACCAGGGCTGGGACTTCAACTGCGTTCAGACATGTGGAATCTGGTTCCTTTAACCACTAAGCTACCAGGCTGACCCTACAAGATACCTTTTATAATGGTAACCCGTCTCCCTACTAAAATCTTTAATCAAAATAATAACAAAACACAGCATGCTTCCTTAAATAGCATGATGAAATCTGTAGCTCATGATCTTTATTACTCCTGCCTTTATTACTTTTATTGCTGAAGAAATTAACTCACCAAGGTTGTTTAATGGGTTGACAGTAAAACTTAAGTTAAAATGAAGTCTTCTGTGTTGTTAGAGCTAATGATGAAATTATTTTTTTTTTTTGCACTTACTGCCTATTGGGTTGTCGGGAAAGTCATAACACAGTTTTGCATAGAAAAATAGTTGGGATTAGCAGGTGGCGTGGTGGTTAAAGATGCTGGACTCCCACATGGCTGACTGTGGTTTAAGTCTCGGACCTGACGGCTTGCTTTCTCACTTTCTCTCTCTCTTTCTCTGGTCAAATTAAAACAAATGATAGTAATAATAATTAATAAAATTAAATAAAATAATTCTTTAAAAGAAAAACAGAAAAATATATCTTGACTTTCTCGATGACCTAATAGACAGAGGTACCCAGAGGCAAAGCTGGAGGAGACATCTCTAGCCCCTTAACTTAAAATGTATACAAAATAATTTAATAAATATAGCAAGATGTTGCTGTTAGAACAATATAGACTGGAGGTGGGAAGAAAGGGGGTAAGAAAAAGAAATCCAGAGAACATACCTGAGGACATTTAAAATGTCATTAAGAAAAATTCATATGTATTGCTTAATTAACTGTTTAAGAAAATTGGTTGCAATATAGCTTAAAAAATCAATAAAATAAACTAAATTAAAAAAGAGTATTTAATAAGTATGGTATGGTCAAATGATGGAATGCAAAGAAAAATGCTTTCATGGAATAGTTGATTACACAGTAAATTACTGATAAAATATACTGTAATACCAATATTATGTTAATAGAAATAGGTATTGCATGCCTCAAACTAGAAGGTATAACTCAAGTGTTAAGAGTATATATTTAGGGTTGTGTGATTACAACTGATTTTATCACATTCTTTTGTATTTCTCTGTATGTACCAGGTTTTCTACCATGAATTTTTTTATAATTAGGAAAAAACATTTTAAAATAATTCCTAAAGTGTTGATGTTTAAACTAGATCAACTATGTTTAAAATCCACATTTATTAAATAGCTCATTCTCCAATATATCATAAATGATGCACTATGGTTTTTGTGTTAAAATAGTATGATTATTAGTAAGCAAATCAAATCCAGTACTACTTAATTTTTTAAAAAATGTGTGCATTTTTGTGTAGCCTAAAAAAAAAGTAAAACAAGAACGCATACCTTGGAGAACTAAGACCTTCTTTGGCAGGTGTGTCTGTCACTTGGCTCTTGGGAAGCATGCCTTCACAAAGAGAAATAAAAGTTCTTATTGAAATAGCATGTGCATATATAAAAGGACACACATCATAAGTGTACTACTCTATGAATTTTCATAAACTGAAACATAACCTTATAGCCAAGCACCCTCCTTGTGCCCTCTTCCAATCACCACTCCTTTCCCAAAGGCAAGAGTAATCACTACTCCAATCTCCAATACCAGGATTAGTTTTGCCTGTATTTGATCTTCCATAAATGAGATCGTAACTTATGTTCTCTTTCAGTCTGGCTTTTTGGTCCAACATTATAGACATTACAGTTCTTAATTTCAAACAAATGTGACTGATAATAAGCAAAAAATCAAACCTAGAGCTTTCTGAGATTTTTATCCATGCTGCAATGCCTCAAAAATGTGTTCCTTTTTATTACCAAGTGGTATTACATTGTATGACTACATCACTATTTTTTTTTTCATGTTTTTGGACATTCGGGTTGTTTCTAGTAAGCCCACACCTCACTTGCCCGGTTTCCATATCTTCCCACACAACTCTGCAAAACACACTTAATTTTTTGTATAAATGAAGGGAGCCTCAGAGATGCGACAACAAGGCTAACATTGTGACGAACTGGCAGTAGACCCTAAAAGAAGATGGTTTTACTACAAAGCTACAGGTACAACAAAAGAGAGGACTGTGCAAATGAAAATTTATTTATTTTTAATGACAAAAGTAAGAAATAGTTCATTCATTTGAGAAGTGCTGAAAAACATTTTATTAAATATCAATGTCTTTTCTCTTTAGAAAACCTTTTAGGTATATAAATAAAAGACAGACAAATGCATTACATTCTAACAATTTCCATAAGAAAAACCTATCAAAAGAAATCATAAATCATTTTTGATCTTATACGACCAGATTAAAACCAAAAACTATGAATTCAAGTTTAATGTTAACAATGTGATCTTATGAAATCACTGTCTCCTCCTCAAATTCAAACAATAAAATCTACCCTGCAATCTCATGAAAGCAAATAAGACAAATCCCAAACCTAAAAAAACTACATAATACCATAAAAATATAATAACTTATTTAAATAATGTCATTCATGGTGAAATGTGTCTTGATTTTAACATTTGCAAAAAAAAAAAAAAACATCTACACCCAAGATGAAAACAAACCTCACATAATAACTTTCTGGGGACCAGGAGGTGGCATGGTGGTTAAGGCACTGGATTCCCACAAGGTCAACTATGGCATTGAGTCCCGGATCGAGTAGCTTGAAAATCACACTGGGTTTATGTACGTGCATGCCAAAGTCCTATGAGGAGAATGAAGAGGAGATTGCAGCATGGCCATCTACCGAAGTGAGTGATTTCTTACTTTCCCTCTCTGTGTATCTATTTTCCTCTGGCAAATACAGGTACTCTATAGCAAAACAAAACATAAAACACCCTTCTGGATAAGTTGAATGAACAAGGGGTAAATGCAGGGTGGACTAAAATAATTAGGTAGAATAAGATGAGCTGAATGAATCTTGTCCTTCCCCAAAATGCTGATTCCTTCCAATATAAAGGAAACAGATCTGTGGTGGAACACAAAAGTAGCCTGTTCCACTCAGCTTGGGGTTTTTTTTGTTTGTTTGTTTTTGTAATTTGCTAGAAGGTGTGTACTCACTGGAAAGAGACAGAAAGAAAGGAAGCATGCATCCCCAACCATGGGGGAAGGTGATGACCCAATCCCTTCTCCATTTCTTGAAGCATGCATGCACAGGTGCCTGGCATATTTCTCAAGCTGCCAGGTCTGGGACTTGAGCTGCACAGTTGGCCATGTGAGTTCCATATGCCTTAACCACCATGTTAAGGCTGGCTATGTAAGTATTTCAAATAGCTGCTAGAATAATGATATAGAAGACAGGCAGATCAGGATTACAAATATATAGGCTTACCACATAGATTTTAATGAGACTTGTAAGGGGCAGCTAATAAAAACATACATATAAAATTATAGGAATATCTGTATCTATATTAATATCTATTATCTATACACACATACATACATTCATACATGGGGTCATTGGGAGCACCATTTTTGCATAGAAAACATAGAAAAATATGTCATGACTTTCTCAATGACCTGATGTATGTATATATATATGTGTGTGTGTATGTATATACACACACACACACACACACACACACACACACATCAGGATGCTAGCCAGATCACTTAGAATGTTATATTTGAATCTCATGGCCACCTTTAACTAGATACTAGTTAAATGTAGTGCATCCAAAGGACAATAGGAAAAGGTTCTGGAAGCCACACGTGGTGGGAAAGGACATGGCTGGTTCATCAGTAATTATTAAGTGACAGTTGTTTTCATAGTATCATGGAAAGAGTTAATCATCACACAACACCTCAGGTCAGTCCATCAGGCAGTGTAGTGTTATACCATTAGACACACAACCTCAGATATCATAAACTGCATAAATTTGTCTATAATACCAATTTTTCTCTAGTTAGAAAAGATAGTCCCCTAAATTTGGACCAGTAAGGACTTATTTTATACTTAAAAAACAAACAAAAGACTAAATATCCTAGACCATTATGTGAAGCAATACCGTACATAAGCATGTATGATTAATTATTTTATTATAAACGTATATGACTTACCATTTAAGACTTTCTTTTCCTCACGATTGTCTGTACAGTGATTTAGGGGGAAAAAACTCAAGTAAGAATACCATAATGTAAAAGAGAATACCATATACATTATTGATTTAACGATAATAGCCTCTCTTGAAGAGCTTTGTTCTGAGGCCCGAGGAAAGAAATAGGCTAAGAACCTTTCCTTCAAATAATTTAAATTTAATTTCTAAAGATTGCCAGGCCTTTTCTCTAAGTGTTTTTGTCCTATTTCACTGGGATTTTCTTCCAGTTCTTTTGTCACTTTTTTCTAATATCTTGGTTAATTTCTTTAGAGAGCATACAAAAGCCTAAGCTTTGTTCAAGTTATAGTTTTAATTAGTCCAAGTTAACCAGAATTTATTAGATTAAACTTTATAAATGAAACAAATATTAAGAATCCCAAGAATGATGCCTTATTATCTTTCTTTTTTATTGAGGTCTGTACGTAAAAATAATCATCACTACAAGTTCAAATGGCTAAAATGTAGAAAAACATGTCAAAACTTTCACATGTACACACATGTAGTTACTGTGTTGCAACTGAGAACAAGTTTTCTTAGAGGTTTTTGCTATATGGCACGTGTGCTTACTGGAAAAACAGAGAGAGACAGAGAGACAGAAAGCAAGAAACCGCCCCCCAAAGGGGATAGCCACGCCACAATCCCTTCTCCTCCATTCTCCTCCATTCTCCTCTCGGGATCTTGGGCACGCACACACATGCACTCGGTGAGAGTTTAAGCCACAGGGTCCAGGACTCGAACCGTAGTCGACTACATGGGAGTCCAGTGACATAGCCATTACGCTAACTGCTGGTCCCTGCAACCCAGAACATTTTAACAGGTATATTCTTTCAGGATAGCAGCCAATTCACAGATTTGTATTATATCTTAATCACAAATGTTATATATACAATTATGGTCAAAATAAACACCTCAGCAAGTTATAAGAGTATTAAAAAAAGGATAAAACATCCAAGTAGTTGAAAGACATCACTTATTAAACCACCATCACCTTGGTTTTAAAGGAAAAATCCCTAATACATTTAGATCAAAGTTTGCAAGATTTTTATGTTCTAATTTTTAATCACCAGAAATTCCATAATTACTTCCATTTCACATACTAATCACAGAGTAACTACAATTAAGGAGGCAGACGACGCCCTTTTTGTTTTCATTTTACCAAAATAATTATCCTGAAAGGGATCTTAACATACAGTAAGTTATCACCCAATCCCCTCATGTAAGATTAAAAATCAGACTTCTAGGACGAAAGCCAACATTAGACTTCTCTCCCTTGAAACTCAGTCCTATTTCTTTTAATGTTTTTAATTTCTTCTATGGGAAGAGAGATGGACAGAAAGGGTGGGGAAGAGAGACAGGTATCCCCAACAGGGTCCTCACACTGCCTCAGACAGCGCAGGTCATAGGCACATGTGCATACCCTCTGAGTATAGGGAGGCCTCTGGACCCGAACCTGGACTCTCCCACATGGGTCCAGCATCACAGGCCATTATCATGACTGGGCCACCGCTGCTGGTCCTCAGCCCTATTTTTCTTAATATGCCATTTTGCTAGAGTTAAAATTTCCTAAAACAACACAAGACTTACCAAGTATTTAAATTTTATCTCAAAATGAGCTTTGTTTATCAACTGCCAGATAAAAATCTAGTACTACAGTATGCAGGGGATCACTGATGCCCCCACTTGATCACTTATTTTCAGCCAGTCTGTTTTACCTGCAGTTGGGATTATTTGTCTTATCTTAGAACAAACAACACATTCACAGTAACCTAAGTATATCAAACCTGTTTTCAGTACACAATATAGCTGGCAGTTTGATAAACCTCATTTATCATGTAAAACAATTTGTTTTATCCAAGAGGCTTACAGAGTTTGAAAAATTGTCTCAAGTAATTCGTTTTTAGGGGGAAAAAAAGGCTATCTCAGATGCATCCTGCTGCTGTAAACTGATCTGAATATCAGAGCTTCCTGAATTCTGCTAAATTAGTGACTTTTTTCCTAAAGCCTCTCTTCATGGGAGAAAGTGCATGTAAGTATACACAACAAAGAGAAAGAAGTATCCTCAGCAGGCTCTCATCTGGCCATGGTTTCCTTTCTGCCACATTTCAGCTTGTCAAGATCCTGGGGATGGACACACTTAGCCGATGTGTTTTCGAATTAACATACTTAGCATTTTTTCAGCATTTTAGCCACTTGAACATGTAGGAGGTTTGAACCCACAGTCAGTCATGTGGCCTCTGCACTGCAGTTCAGTTTGCTTCTTACTACACAACCAGGTTGGAGCTTCCAGAGTCTTGTTTTAACACAAACAGTACCAA